CGGGGGCCCTGCGTCCTCTCCGAGTACCAGGCCTTCAGGTGAGCACCCCACGGCCCGGCCCGGCCCGAGGGAAGCGCCCCCCCCGCTTGGTTTTGGCTTCTTTAACATGGCCACATCCTTCGTGCTGCCCCGCGCTCTGTTGCAGGGAGAACGTGCTGAAGAACCTGGATGACAAGGCTTTTGACAAGCCCATCTGCGAGGCTCTCTTAAACCAGAAGTTTTTCAATGGGATTGGGAATTACCTCCGGGCTGAGATCCTGTACAGGTAAGGTGGGCTGAGCACCTGCTGACCTGCCACGGAGGTTTGGTCTCCAAGAGTTTGCCGGAGCTTTGCCAGCTCCTTGGCTAAGCTGGCTGGGCCTCCTTGCCTGGTAGACACAGGCAAAGTGCCAGAACTGAGAGTTCAGGCTTGTGTGTAACAGATGGACTCACTCAGGTTGAAGATCCCTCCCTTTGAAAAGGCTCGGACCGTGCTGGAAGCTCTGAAGAATCAGGAGCAGGCGAGGAGGGAGAAGGTGGGGAACACTGGGTGCTTCCGCAGGCTCAGAAAGGGGCAGGTTTCCAGGCAGACGCCGTACCAGGGATTTGTTTGCTTGTGGACCTGTGCGATGTCTCGGCAGCTCCCGGAGCTCCCAGGAGCCTCTCGCCTTCCATGCAGGGAGCCAGACTCCTCTGAGAAGTGTTCCTGATCCGGGTTTGGGCTCAGCACGGGGCAGGTGGTTCGGTTTGCTTCCAGCTCCCAGCCTGGGCTCAGCCTGCTGCCCTGCTCTGGCTCTGCTTTGGGCTTAGCTGGGCACAAAGGTCTGGTTCAGGTCTGCTGTTTGGGGCTTGTTCCAGCCCTGGGGTCAGGGCCAATTTCAGTTCCAGTTTGGTTTCTCGCTCTGATGGAGCAGAACATCATCACGAGGCGCTTGCGGAGCTCGCACAGTCCCTGCCCGCGCCGCTGTCAGGAGGTGTTTGCTGCTCCGAGTCTTTCTCAACCCGACAGCGGGCGTTTCCTCTCCGCAACTGCACCACTTGCTGCGCGGGATCTTTCTCCTCGAGCACGTTCCTGTCCTTTGCCATGACCACCCATGTCTGAGCATGTCCGCCCCTCCAACGGAGCGGCAAACGGGGCGCAGCTCCCCTGGCACGTGCCCGCGTGCTGCGCCGCTGCCCAGCAGCGCCCAGCTTCTGCCCTCAGAAAGCCTCAGGGTATATATTTGGGGTGGGTGAAGAGGAAGGGGCAAGGGAAACAAACACCGTGCGAGTTTAATCTCTGGGGAAGGCTGCAGTGGAGCCCGCGGCCTCCGGGGAGAGGAGGTGGCTGTTTTAAGGGAGGCTGAAAACAAAACATGCAACTTGGGGGCTGTTTTTACAAATTGCTGGTGTTCCTCTGTGCTAGCCCTCTTTCATGTCTTTGTAGCCGTGGGGAACGTGCTGATGTGCAGTTGGAAGCCTACAGCAGGATGAGGTCAGGGCTGGCACGTGGTGGGGAGTGTGGCAGCTCATCCTCAGGAGGGTAAAAGCAGATGGGGAATTTGGGCTGGTGTTGGGAAGGAGAGACCTCGTCGAGGCTGGGCAGCTGTAGGTGGCTTCCCTCCCCTTCTCCACCCCTGCAGAGTCCTTCCCTGACGCTGAGCAAGAAGCTGAAGCTGATGCGGGAGAACCCGGATCTCCTGGAGCTGTGCCACACCGTGCCCATGGAGGTCATCGCGGCAGGTGAGGCGACAGGACAGGGACAGCTGGGGGGAGACCTGGGCTTTGCACCATCCTCTCCTGCGTTCCTAGCAGCAGGCACCTCAACACCATGGTCACCGCTTCTTCTCCATCGCTGCCTCTGTGCTGTCCCTCTCTCCTTTCCCAGAGAAAAAGCTCTTGGACCCAGATCATGCAGATAACTATGCTGCTTTCAAGAACTGGCTGCAGTGTTACCTAGTGCCAGGCATGAGCTCCCTGCGCGACCGCAACGGCAGGACCATATGGTTCCAGGTAGGAGCCTGAGGTCACTGCCTGGGGCTGAGTGTTCCCCCCGACAACTCGTCCAAGGGGACACCAGCCCATTTTCTCCTTCTGGAGACCCCCCAGCATTACGCTGTGTCACCCAGGGTCTCCCACTTCAACAGACTGCTGTGACCGCTGGATGTGGAGGTGACAAGGACCCTCCGTGCGGTGGGCAGTGGCTGAGGGATGGTGGGCAGTGTGGAGCAGAGGGGCTGACTGCAGGAATGGGGAGCTCGGGTGGTCTGGCAGCCCCGTTCCTCCCTCCTGTGCCCCGTGTCTGGGTGAGACACCATGGCTGGGGCCTTGCGGAAGGACGTGGGGCTGATGGGAGAGCCCCGAGGCACAGGGCCGGCAGAGCACATCCGACTCCCCTGGCTTCCCGGGGAAACGTGGCTGTACTTTTTCTTGGCTGCGGGGTGCAGAAGGGGCACAGATTCTGCTGCCACTGCCTACGGAATGACTGCGCCCCATTCAACGCTCTGTCGCCTTCCTTGCAGGGAGAGCCTGGCCCCATGGCTCCCAAAGGTGAGTGTCCTCTCACCTTCCTGCGGAACCCACTCTTGCTCCGGGAGGGCTGGAGCCTGGGAAGCCCAGGGGCAAAGGCAGGAGCAAAGTCCCTCTCCCTGGGGTGCTGACGGGCCTGTGGAGGCTGGTGGCACTGGGGAACAGAGCCCGTTGTCCCCAAGGCTTCCTACCAGCACACCCACTTGCCTGGGCACAGGCTTTGCGCCTGCAGGGTGCTTTTCCAGGGCAGCACCTACATCCTCTTCCTCACCTGCCAGGCTGGGAGCTGGAGGGTGTGCTCTCCCTGGGGCTGCGAGCCTGAACTAAGCAGTGTTTTGGCATGGGAGGGAATCTGGTGAGGGAGGAGAGGAGCCCCCTCAAGCCGTTCCTCCATCCCAGCGCCAATTCCGCAGCGCTCAGCTCGCACGCCGCCTGGGACGGCGTCCCTGAAAGGTCACTGTGCCACAGCCTGTCTCCCAAAACACAGGTGCCCCATCTCCCCCTCACCCCACCTAACCTGGGCACATCATCTTGTGCAGGACAGGCGTCCCGCAAGAAGCGCTCTCAGCTGAAGGCAGATCCCGAGGCTCTGATAAGAAGCTTTGTGGTTGTGGCTCCTGCTGGGTCTGGGGGCTGTTCTGTTCCCCCTGCCTTGCTCAGGCTGCTCCTGAATTCACGGTGGGGCTCCTACCTGGAGTTTCTCATCGTCTGGCGGTCCAAAGCACACTTCTGCTGCTGACATCCAGCTCTGACGTCCACCCAGGTCACCACACGTTCCTCGAAACGGCGCCCCGGGGCTGCAGCGAAACCCCTGAAGCCAACCGAGGAGGAGGAGGTGGCTGACGGGCCGAGGAAGGGACGTGCTCGCGGGAGGAAGAAAGCGACCGCTGCTTCTGCCTTGTCCGAGCCTGAGGCACCGGTCAGCGCCAAAAGAAGCCGCCGGACGTCTGCACGCAGGGGCAGAGGTGAGGCTGGCAGTCCCCGCGGCTTTCCAACGCGCAGGCGAGGGCTGTGGGAGCGCTCCCTCGTGTCAAGGGGTCTGAGGGGGTGCCAAAAGGCAGGAGAGGAGCCAGCGGGGCTTCGCGGGGCAGCACCAGGCGCCCCCTCACCCTCTGGCTTCTCCTTTCCCTCTCTGTGTTCCAGGCGCAGCGCCTGCCGTGTGAGTGCCGCGCGCTGCCTTCCTCCTGAGGGGCATTTTAACAGCCACAGGAGCTCAGGGAGGGCCTGGCCAAGGGCCTGGGGTTAGTTCTGGGGAGAAATGGGGCTGTTTCCGTACCTGTGCTCACACCCGCTTGCTACCGCTCTGTCCTGGGCTTGGCGATGGGGCCGATGGATCCAGCGTCCCCCTGCTGTCCCCAGGCATTTGAGGGGGGATAAGGGCCACGGACCGCACATCGTGCTGGGTTCTGACCCTTCCCTCTGCCTAAAAGTGGATTCCCTCTTCTTTCCCCTCTTCCCTTTCTGGCTGCTGCCTGGATCACTGTTTTTAACTGACTAATAAAGTGTATTTTGTGTAGAAATCACCGTGCTCGCCTTTTTGTGCTAAGGATAACCCCGCTGTGCCCATCCTCTTCCCCAGATAGTACGGAGCAGGCTTCCCCTCCACCCTGCCCCCCTGAAATTCAGGTAAGCTCTGCCTCCCCGGTCCCACGAGCAAGGACACCAAGAGAGCAGCAGCTACAACAAGCTCTGCCTCCCCGGTCCCACGAGCGAGATCCTGCTGAGGAGGACACTAAGAGAGCAGCAGCTACAACAGAGCCCCTGGGAGGAGGCAGATCAGTGCAGTTATCTGGAAATAAGTTAAGAAAACAGGCTGGAGCTTATATTCATGTAATTCTCTTTTTACTTGTGTTCCCCTTCCACAAAAGCAGTGCGAGAGGCAGGTGAAGGGAGAGGGGAAGGACTGTAGTGGGTCTTTACGCTGGCTGCTAGGGTCTGGAGAAGGTGAAGGCCGAGACACAGGAGACACTGTGGAAAGCTGCTGCTCCCCAAACCTTCCAGGGTTGGAGTAGAGCCTGTGTAGGGCCAGCCAGCCTGTCCCACAACTTTACCCACGTTTCAGCTAGCTGGGAACTCGCTCAGGCCCTCTGTCCCCAGTTAGGCAGCGGGCAACTGTCCTTTCCTGAAGGACATGGTTGCTCTCAAGCGAAGCTCTCCGATGGCTGGGTGGGGGGCGAGGGGGAGACTCTGCCCTTCCCTGGAACCACCACCTCCTCGCACAGCTCTTGAGATCGGGGAAGCCTCAGGCTGCGATTTGAACTCATGGTGTTGGTCCAGGTTGCCGCGGCATGGGCAAGGGCGACCGACGGCGTCACCGCCTCAAGACCAAGAGGACGGAGAGCACGCGGAAGGGTGTGAAGGAAAGTCTCACGCCCCGCTGCTCCAGCGGCAGGCGGCCCCGTGCAGCCGGCCGCTCCAGGAGGTCACAGCTGGGGAAGAAAGCAGGAAGTGAAGCTGAAGCAACTGGTTTCCATCCCCACACGTGCCCAGCCCTCCAGCATGGACTTACAGCATCGCCTCCTTAACAGGGAGGGAGGTCTGGAGCCAGGCGTCAACCGTGCTGCCGTGTGCCTCGTACAGCCGAACCACCACGGCTTCAGGGCTGTCCTCGGCCTTTGGGGGACAGCACAGATGGGATTTTGGACAAACAAGATGGACACGTCCTATCCTACACCTCAAGGTATGGCCTG